ATCTTTGCAGATTAGATATAGCAGCCTTAATAAATAGATGCTTGGTGATTGATTTATTCATTTGCTTTATAAACTGAAATTCTAATCCAATTTTGTCACTGAAGAAAGTTGAGACATAAAATCAGTGAAAATAGCCAAACAGTATAACTACTGATGTAAAATATAAAGCTCTGGTGCAACTTACCACCCAAATATGTCACTAATTTTGCCAGTCTCTTTTCTGCATGTACATTCCTATTTCCTTACATTCTGGAGAATCTAAGAATCTCTGGTACCCTCAAAGCACTCTAAACTTTTTTTCCCAGACTCTTTCTTTGACCATTGTGAAACAAGAAAGTAAGAAACATCATGGGATAAAGATAGTCAGTATTATACATTTTCAAGAAGGAAAACAAGGCAATAAGTAATTCTTAATTCCCATAAAAATGATATAGTGTTTCGGTAAAGCAGACTTGTGGTCTGTTAATAGGTTGTAGCAGAACTACCACTTTGTAAATCCTCAAATCTCTATTTTCCATTTTAGGAATAAAAAACAAGTCTGAAATGACCACAAATTCCCAAATGCTTATTATGTGTCCTAATACTTTCCATTTGAAATGTGAGTGCAGCATGGATGTTAGGCAAATAGACTGATAGCTTAGGAGCCTCCCTATTTAAAATAATGAATGCCTTCACTAGCTGAAGCTGAGTGTCATCATGGAATGCCTTCTATATAAATCAAAGTTTAGTTGTAGGTCTAAAAATAAAAGGATTCCAAGAAAAATAGATTGTTGCTAAAATGTAGGGGCAATATCACATTCTTCTTCAGCTAGATACAATAATGCACATACAAGGCTTATTTACACACTTCCCAAAAGTGTAAATTCTCATGTTATGAATGCAGTATTTTTTTAATGACAAGTACTACTTGTTTGCAAAAAAGCCTACATATTTTGATAGTCAGAGCATCCTCTGTTTAGCAAACAACAATAGGTAGCATATTGACTACAACAGACATTACTGGCAGTTACTTAAGACAAAGTATGTTTCAGAGTGTGGACATGGTGAATGCAAGGACTATTTGTAAAGACAGAAAGGAATAGCAAAAGGTGTTGGTTCTTTTACTCCTAACCTATCCCCTTATCCCTTTAATTTAATTTGGTTAGTATTTTTTTACACCTTTCTAGAAATTTTGTGAAAGAAATGTTGTGAAAGGCTGTTCATATGTACTTAAGGTACAGTTTATTTGGGGTGCTAGGGCAGATAGAGTACCCAGATACTCTTACTCAATATTGACAAGATAAGCAAGGTCAGACCTGGCTGGTACTCAGGTGTGAGACCTCCTGGATACGCCAGGGCTATAGGCTTGATGGGGAGGAGAACCACAGCAATTACTTCTGAATACCTGCCAAGAAAATGCGTCAATGAAATCTCCAGGAGTTGAGTTGGCCCAAAGGAAACTTCATCTTTTTAAAATGCAGATGAAAATGCCCTGAACTTTCACAAAGGAACCTGAATTCCAACTCAAAGGATCAAAGGATTTCGAATTATATGGTATAGTAGCCTGAGCTGAAGAATATGATGGAAAGTCATGACATCACAAAGTCACAATGATCAAGAAACAGTCTAATGTTACTTGGGTATTTTGGCCATAAATAAAACTAATTGTTCTAATGTGGAAATTACTTTAAAATCAAAGGTGTTGGATATGTAGAAACCCTCAAGTGGAAAAAAAATGTAGTGCTTAAGCAAATTGTTTTCCTTGATGTTTCATTCCATGTTTCCAATGGACTAGTAATACATTTCTGTACACATTTCTTGGTTAAAGAATTTGATGCGTAATTTGAAAAACCATATTTTGCTTCATGTATTGCTGTGGGAAGTATAAGTTAGGTAATCATGTTGTGCAGGACTTTGGAATGGAAAGCACAAAAGTCCTTTGGAACGTGCAGGGGCTTGAGTGTAGCACCTGCCAGCAACTCCTTAAAGCAGCTCTTCCTTTCCCCAGCTTTTTAATAAAAGGACAAAATGGGATACAGGTTTTTATACAAATAAAGTATTGATTAAATCCTTGTAACAGGTGCCTTTGTCCGAAATCAAGGGAAAGAGTGGTGTAAGTTGTATGTAAGGACAAGTCTTACCAGACGTTTGGCAAAGAGGGAAACACAAAATGTTTCTAAATGTTTCTTGAGCCACAGAGTCTTTTTCATCAGCATTGGCCATCCCGGTGCCTGCTAGAAGCACACATTCTTTGCTTCTGTTTATTTTTGGCATATGAGATATGACAGCCACTTTGGTGTAGTGATTAAGGCACCAGAGTAGAAACCAGGACACTTAGACATGAAGCTAGCTGGGTGGTCTTGGGCCAGTCACTCTTTCTCAGTCCTGGGAAGAAGGTAGTGGCAAAGCACTTCTGAAAATCTTGCCAAGAAAACTGCCCAGGCAATCAACAGGAGTCAACACTGACTTGAATTCACGCACACAGAGACACACAGAAACTCAGATATGATTGCTCTTCTATACTTTCAGCACATTCTGAAAGTACAGCCATGCTAATGCTAAATGACATAGCAAAGGATCCATGAAAGGTATTTCATATAGCCTGTGTCATCAGATCTGTCATTACTGAGGCTGTTCAAATCTTTTGAAATAGTTGCTTTGGAATGCATGGAAGAATCTATGAATTACTTCTTGTCCAATAGTTAAAGCAGCTGTGTCCTTTTCCAGGCTCATGCAGCTGCTTCCAGCTGTGTCTACTTCCTTGTGGATGCAGAGCCACTTTGCCTTACATCGTTCAGAACAAAGTAAAATGACCAGGAGCAGCTTCTAAAGTAGCCATGAAAATCCTAAAATATGTAGCTTTAATTATTTAGAAAGTGCTTTGTACTTTCAGAAGAACCTGTTTTAAAGGATTTCCATAACTCTAATTTTACACAAATCATGGACACATATTAGGGAATAAACAGTGAGACAAAAAGTTCCTAAACTAGTATTTTTAAAAAATAATCCTCTCTTAATTTAAATATATGCAACATACAGTAACACACACAACAGATGTAATTAGTGGTAATAGAGTTTTAGCAGTTTTTTTGTGCTTTTTTTTTTTTACTGGAAGTATTAAAGAAAATTTCAGTTCAAACTAAATGGATTTAAAGGATTTCATCTCTTTCTGAAGTACTTTTCTTGCTAAGTTCTTGCTAATATTTGTTTTAGCTCTCTTCCTTTATGTTCCTAAGACATTAAAAAAAATGCATTGTTGGGAAGCATTCTTTGACTTTGTGCAAATGTTATTTTACAATTATCAATATCAGTTTTTGATATACTATTTTGGCCTACAGCATCATACATATACAGATTTAAGAATGCAACCGCATAAAAGCAAATTCAGTACCCTTCTACAAGTTTTTAACAGGCATGAAATCAAAAAGCAAAAATCTGTAGAATGATATTGCAGTGATGTGTTGCAAAATGGGGATGTGCAAGTTGACTTGTTTAAACATGGCTGTCAAAATGAATTGTGTAATTAACTTTTTATCCTTGAACGTTTTTGGAGCCCAAAAAGGTTAAAGGAGTATAAGGCTCTCTCTTTCCCTCTTTCTGTCATTTTCCCACCTCCTGATCTGCTACTGCTTCACACCTCCACTTTTTATTTTCTTGTTCCTCTCACCCCCAGCACCACAATGACTATGTGATTCCAGGTTAATGTAAATAATGACAGTAGTGCATCACATAGCTTTAGATGAAACTATAGTCCTTGAACTGAATACAGTGCCCATGGAAACCAGGTCAAGAAATTCCTTCTTCCTATACTGATGTACCACCAGACCAATATTTACTGCCTTGCAAATAGCAAGCCATGTCCCAGCAGCCATGTCACAATATAACTCAGTACATTTTGATATTCTGCCAATGAAGAAAACCTCTGAAAATGTACAAATTAGTTATCCATTATTAACTTTCCCACAAATATTATATACTATAAATGTACAGTTGATAACTTTTTTCTTAGACGTTCTTTCTAGGTGACCCTGAAAAGCTCACACTTCTCCCATTTTCTTCCTGTCACTTATCAAGCCAGTTGGGTCCTTGAAGGAAGCATGTATCCCAGAACAAACAAGGTCTTTCATGGGAGTTTCTTGGTGATATTAAAACCAGAATAAATACTTATAGTTTTGCCAATTGTTTTCTTTATTATTTTTATTCCATTTCTGGCAATGTCTATTTCAACAACATTTGCATCCAAGCTTTAGGATGCATTCTTGAACAGCATCCATGAAATAAGAAACAGACAGCCTTCAGTTGATTGGTTCCAGATCCCAATGGCCCTAAAAGTGACAAATGTTTGTGTACTTTTAGGAAGCTGCCAACTATTTATCTCTATCATGGACAATTCACTTCTGTATGTAAATATTTAGATGAATACATATACCATTACTAAACATAAACATCATATTCAGTCTTAATTCGATTGCGCTGATGAACATTTCTGACGGCACAATATGACAAAGGAAAAACTTACATGGTTCCTTCATTATTTTCTACTGAAAAGACTTTTAGTAAGCTATTATGCATGTAACTTAGTAGAAAGAAAAAAATGAAAAAGTGAATGAGTCACTTGGTTGAAAAAATGTGGTTGAACTGAGGCTTGGGGGTTATTTGTTAGATCTTGCTAAAGGCTATAAAGTGAGTTGGGGAAATGAAATGTCTGTTTGCAATCTGGACGTTGTTTAGAATAATGTCTCCCTTTAGAAGTCTGTTGTTTGTGCTATAGCAGAGCTTGAACTTTTCTTAGGTTGCTTAAAGGGGTTATCTCTCGTTCCATGGGGAGAATAGATGGGTTGTCTTTTACCATTTTCAGTCTCCACCTGCATTTGATTAGACAGCAGCAGTTTCACATACCCCACGCCAGAATACCATGATGACATAGCAGCTTCAGACAACAGCGTGACTAGGATTTTTTTCCCTAAACCCTTGAATCACAGAGGATCTGGCAGCCAGTTACCATCTGACACTGTTTATAGCATATATTGTTCGATCCACTCCCTTACTGAATCTGCTGTGGGAATTACCGAAGCAGCTTCTAGTGAGAAAGGTAAGTGCTCTTGCATGTTTTAACACTTAGAATCAAGCAACTGAACAAAGCAGCACTGAGAGCACAACTCAACTTTGCCAGTTTGCAGACTGGACACAAGTGCCTTCGTGTATTTGCTTTCTGAGTTTATGGTAAAATGCTCTTCATGTTTGGTAGGTTACTGTTGCATTTCTTTGCAGAATCTGATCACTTCCAGAAGGGCCATTCAGTACAAATGGCCAAACCATGGGGAGGAACACAGTGTTCATCTAATAAATATTTCTACTCTTAGCAAAAACTCTGATATTAAATAGGTGGATTATATTGGAACAATGCATTGATAAAACAATAGTTCATGTTGCTGAAGAACAGCAAAACTATTATAGGTTATTCCTCTAGCAATATACATTTTCATTAACCTTTTATGGAACTGCAGTGATGGTTGTACCATGAAAGTTTGAAAAAGAAAAGTGTACAGAAGAAGATTCCTTCTTTGCTAACTGCTAGTGAAAAAGATTTTTTTTCCATTTGGGAGAAGGTGCCAAATGACAACTGTAGTCCTTGCATGCAAATGTTTAGCAGATGTTCACAGGAATACATTCAATCATTTGTACCAGAGAAATATCCCTATACTACAAATAGAAGTTTCCTGCTGATCTTACAGGAAATAATATACACATTTAAGCATGTGCATGAAGTGAACACAGAACAAAGAAGAGTCTCACAAATTTCAAAAAGTAGAATCTTGAATGCAAAAGATTACCCTTGATTTTATAGACTCATGGATTATTCACATGACTAACAAATGTAATACTGTAGTTTTTGTTTGAAAAATTGTGCGTACTTTATTAGCAAATACAAATGGTGTTTTTGAACCAAATCTTTTTTAAGTCTGAAAAAAATGTTAAAACTACTCTGTAATATTTTAGAATATTTAACTAAATATTAATATATCTCACATTTTCTACACGGTAGTTCATTGCTTACCAGTCAGTTTTGCTCTCTAATGCAGTGTATGCCAAAATGATACAAAAAGGATAGAGTGGTACAAATAGATCAGAAATGTCTTAGACATATTTCCAAGGCCAAAGTGTGTAATTCTAAATGAGGCCTTATTTTTTTCAATTTCTATAGTTGTTTTTTTTTTTAAAAAGCAAAAACTGTTGTTTCACTGTTAAAGGAAAGGTTGTGAAGTATTTCTGATCAATCAACATCACTCTACTATATCTGCAGCTAAATTTACTCACTTACAGTTAATACTATGTTCTTATCCAAAGACATTTACAAGTGAAATCTGTACATTGAGACTTACACTGTATCCAGTGGGGATTTTTCCAGTATCTCCAGTGGCAATTCAATTGCATAAAATAATATTAATTTCAGACTATATATTTTTATATATAAATTTGCAAGGCATAGAATTGCCTGATATGTACAAACATATTAATATATTCCATAAATGTATGACAAAATTCATAACAAGTACTTAGTATTCACTGATCAGAATAAAGATTTCAGTTATTATATATTCAGCTATAATTTATCATGTTACTTCGTCTTT